CAATATATGAAATTCAACAAGAGCGGTTTAGAAAAAATTTAAAATGAGTTGATTTCAAATTTGCTCATGTTAACTCAGTTTACCAGATGAATGGGAAAGACGTATTGCTTAACTAAGCCAGCAAAATTAAATGCCAAATAATCTGTTGCGCAGTGTTTAACAGACTAGCTGGCTTCTCTGTCGTCTAGTTACAGAAATGAAGGCCGTTAAACAATACATGATGTTCTGCTTTACAACATCTGTCAGTCGTATAGAGAAGTTTGACTCTCATAATTATATAAATTCTGAATTGAATGAAATTTATGAGTATTTTGACAGAACTGCTAAAGAAAAGAAAATCTAAAAAGCTAAATAGAGGAATGCAACTTTGCAGAATTAAAAAATTTCTTACTTCTTCAAATATTTTGTTTTAGACAATTAAAAGACATTTGCCATTTGACAAAAATATTCTTGCAATATTGAATAATTGTAGCACAAGAAACAAGAGACGAAAAATGTATCATTTGCTTTGCATGCATTCCTTGCTTTTTATTTGCCGCCCCATTTCAATTTGTTGAATTATGTACCTCTCTTTCTTTATCATTTCCCTCAATCATAAGTCTTAGTTTTGATGTCCAATCAAATATTATTTATCACCCATGAATTCAAGTTTTAGTTTACTATCATGCTCATGTAAAAGCGCAAAACACTTCGCAAATATTTTATAATTTTTAAATGGCTATGATAGTTGGAAAACATTTTTTTGTTATCTGTATTCAGAACAAAAATACTTAATGATGATTTCTTCAAATATTTTAGATGTAGCTACTATTTTCTCTGGCGTATCATTGGAAATATGATATAATATATTTCCAGACATTCATATATATAAATAAGTAGAACTTTATCTTTAGTTGTGATCAATCAATTCGTTTTTGTTTTCATTATAAGCATAATTATAAAATGATAAAAAGAATTGCGAAACAGTAAAAGTTTTTTAAGAATTTTAATTTAGTCAAATTACCAAATGGCAGCTATGTATACATGATGCATGGCTGCACTACTCTTAACTACAGAAAATGTTTAAAAAAAACACACCAAAATGTTTCATAATGCTTTAAGTATATTATAAGATAAAGATTGTGTTAGATTATCTGTTGGATTGCGTATAAGCATGACTATGATGAAAGAATGTATGGTCTTGATAAGGAAGTTAAATCCATAAGAGCTATTGTTCTTAAATTATGTGATAGGCTCTGAGTTTTAGGATTTCTTTATGTTTTCCTTACTTACCATTGAAGAGGCAATTTGGCTATCAATAAAATTTCTCATTTGAATTCTGACGAGTGTTTTCTATTCTTCTCAAACAGCAGTTTAGAAAAAATATAACTGAACCAGAAACTGTCTTGTCCTAAAGTGCTAGTAATATTGGCTTTTTGAAATTTGATATCAACACAAGACAAGCACTTTTCTGTTGACGGAAACACAAATATTGATGCTTTTTAATTATATTTTAGATAAAGAGCCGTAATTGCAGAAACTTAGTGTCAGATAAAATAAGCAACAAAAAGAGTGTTTCAACAATTTGAAGAAATACTATTTACATTGAAAATAACAGACCAAATTATTTTAATTCCCTATAACAACACCCAGATAAGAAATATGTTTATTTTGACGTTATTGAAATTAGTCAACTATTTCAAGTGTCTCTATAAACTAAAAGAAAAATGTGCACTGCAGATGTTAATTTCCGTTCATAGATAAAAGACTATAAAGCAAAAAATGAGTATTGCCTATAAGTAACTTTTGTTTAATTTTATAGCTCATTATAATATGATTTACCCCCTTTTACTTATAAAAACATAAAACTTTCCAAAGTACATCATATTCAAACAACGCTGGTTTCTTAGGTCATCATCTCTATACATCACATTTCACATGATTTTAATTTCTAATGTTTTTAACAAATTTAGTTCACTTCAACGTACTACTTCCCTTTCCTCTCTCAAGATGCGGAAAATAAGGACAAAAAAGACACATTAGTGGTTGCAGACGCCCCTCATTAACATTTTCAGAGCACAATTTTCGACTTACATTTTACATGATATACATGATATTCTGTTTACAACATCTGTCAGTCGTAAAGAGTTGTTCGACTCTCCTAATTATATAAATTCTGAATTGAATCAAATTTATGAGCATTTCGACATAATTGCTAATGTAAAAAAAATTCTAAAGAACTAAATAGAGGAATTCAACTTTGAATTTTCAAAAAGTTTTAATTCTTCAAATATTTTGTTTTAGACAATTAAAAGGCGTTTTCCATTTGTTAAAAATATTCTTGCAATATTGAATAATTGTAGCAGAAGAAACAAGAGACGAAAAATGTATCATTTGATTTGCATGCATTCCTTGATTTTTAAAATGACTTCTGTATTGATGTTTGATGATGATTTGCCCCATTTCAATTTGTTGAATTATGTACCTCTCTTTCTTTATAATTTCCCTCAATCATAAGTCTTAGTTTTAATATCCAATCAAATATTATTTATCACACATGCATTCAAGTATTAGTTTGCTATCATTCTCCTGTAAAAACGCAAAACACTTCGCAATATATAATAATTTTGAAATGTCTATGATAGTTGGAAAACATTTTTTTCTTATCTGTATTCAGAACAAAAATACTTAATGATGGTTTCTTCAAATATTTTAGATGTAGCTACTATTTTCTCTGGCGTATCATTGGAAATATGATATAATATATTTCCAGACATTCATAAATATAAATAAGTAGAACTTATCTTTAGTTGTGATCAATCAATTCGTTTTTGTTTTCATCATAAGAATAAATATAAAATGATAAAATGATTTGCGAAACAGTAATGATTTTTTTAAGAATTGTAAGTTAATCAAATTACCAAATGGCAGCTATATATACATGATGCATGGCTGCGCTACTCTTAACAACAGAAAATGTTTAAAAAGTCATACAAAAATGTTTCATAATGCTTTAAGTATTTTATAAGATAAAGATTGTGTTAGATTATCTGTTGGATTGTGTATAAGCCTGACTATGATAAATGAAATGTATGGTCTTGATAAGGAAGTTAAATCCATAAGAGCTATTGTTCTTAAATTATGTGATAGGCTCTGAGTTTTAGGTTTCCTTTATGTTTTCATTTCTTACCATTGAAGAGGCAATTTGGCTATCATTGAAATTTCTCTTTTGAATTCTGACGAGTTGTTTTCTATTCTTCTCAAACAGCAGCTTAAAAAAGTATAACTGAAGCAGAAACTGTCTTGTCCTAAAGTGCTAGTAATATTGGCTTTTTGAAATTTGATATCAACACAAGACAAACACTTTTCTGTGGACGTAAACACAAATTTTGATGATTTTTAATTATATTTTGGATAAAGAGCCGTAATTACAGAATTTTAGTGTCAGAAAAAATTTGCGACAAAAATAGTGTTTCAACAATTTGAAGAAATACCATTTACATTGAAAATAACAGACCAAATTATTTTAATTCCTTATAACAACACCCGGTAAGAAATATTTTTATTTTGACGATATTCAAATTAGTCAACTATTTCAAGTGTCTCTATAAACTAAAAGAAAAATGTGCACTGCAGATGTTAGTTTCCGTTCATAGATAAAATACTATAAAGCAAAAAAGGAGTATTGCCTATAAGTAACTTTTGTTTAATTTTATAGCTCATTATAATATGATTTACCCCCTTTTACTTATAAAAACATAAAACTCTCTAAAGTACATCATATTCAAACAACGCTGGTTTCTTAGGTAGAAATCTGCAAAGAAATGTCTTTTTTATTACGTTGCTTTTGAGTCAGATTGTGTAACAGGGAATATTTAATACTGATTGAAAAAAAATACAAACACCTCTTAAAAAAATTCTTTTTAATGTTTAAATTATTCAACAGCTTAATTCCATTGACGTAATTATATTAGCGTGCTTTAAATTTGCATTGAAATTCTCACGAAGACACGCATATAATATTGCAGTTAAGTTGTTCATTCTCTTCTTTGAGTCACGCAACGTCAACAAGAGTTGTGAATCTTTAGGTTTAAGAAGCCAGTTAGAGAAGTCATAAGACGTACATGTGGCTCTAACACGCCTTTTTAGAGATTGCACTTTATTCATCATGTTTCTAATAAATTTTGCTTCGTCAGGTATGAATGAACCCAATGTACTCATCTTTTATCCTTTAACATACATTTAAAAATATTTTAGAAAATTCTCTATGCATGATGCCTTATAATATTTTTCTTGCAATTACGCAGCACAATAGAAACGCTTTACCTGCTGCTTTAGTATTTAATTTTTAAAAATTGTTTGAGTGGGAGGATAAATTAGTTTTTTCTTCTAGCAGCTGAAAAGCTGTATATATTTACAATGTATGGATCTCTGCAAAGTAAGAAATTTCATTATAAATTTGCTATTGTTTAACCGAATAGTTTTTGATATTATACAGAGTTAAACTTTCACTAGTTGACAGAGGTCATTTTAATAAAATATGTTGTCATGTAGTAATGTCAACTACTTGTTACAAAGAATTCTTTGCTAATGTCCCTTTCTGTGGAGATTTAAATGTCATTCAATCTATTGACTTATCTTCAAACCATGCAATCACAGATCTGATGCAGAAAAGTAACTGAACAACAAACACACTAAGAAATCTATTTGAAAAATAAGGCCAAAAAACTCCTTTGTTAAAGATTGACAATTTTTTTGGTTTCGCGTTCATACTTTGCCAGCAAAGTAAGAGATACTTCAAAGAGTGACTTACTACAAAAACCAACCTATGCAAGTATCTTTATCGAGCAGCTATGAACATGCCACAAAGCAGACTAATCAAAGTGCTTGTTCAACACGATAATATAATAGAGCATGACACGTCATTTAAAATCAGATTGATTTAATTATATACTTTGTACTGCATGTCAGTAAAGTTCCAACTTTACTGAACTGATTAGCAAATAGTTCATGTTAACTCGATGCAGACAAATGAACCAGTAAAATTGTCTGAATGTGCTGTTTTAAGAGCAAGATACACTACTCAAGTTGAAAAAGCTAGATGTCAAAAAAGTACAATATTTCTGGCAATAAACGCAGGAATTGACCAAGTGACCATTTTACACAAACTGTTATCGGTGGATAACTTTGCGAGTTTTTATTGAATTCACTCAAATATATGCTTAAGATAATCGCTGTATGTTCCTTATTCAAATAAACTTGATTGGATAAATTTCGATACAATATAATGGCAAGAACTGCGAAAAACCTCATTTTTGTAATACAATCTACATATCTTTTGCCCTGTTGACGCCGCCATATTGAATAAACATGATGGCCCAACGCGCACACATATAGTATGTACGTACCTATGACTACTACATCTATGGTAAAATTAGATATTTTAATATGGCGCAAAGCTCAAATTTAAACACGGTAAACAATTACAGACTTGCATTGTCATGTTATATCGCAAGCTAAGCAAAGAAGATAAAAAATTGAACATGCCTTGCATATTTTAACTAGTCTGAGGCAACGTATTTAAAAAATATCTGTTGTAAAAGCACTTCTAGTTTGTTTTGAAAAAATACAGCAACCCTTATTCAACGTTGATTGTTATTCTTTGAATAATATTACACGACGCCTTCCCTTTATCGCGTTCCAGACTTTGTTGTGAGCAAAACGCGAACGCCAAATTGTATTCGAGAAAATGCAAAATTCAACGTTTGAAACAGGCCTTATTATGCGATGCCCTATGTTACTAAAAGATGTTAGATACAACCACATTTCACATAGTGATTAGCCGCTGACCGTGCGAGTACGGGAATATTAAGAAAAAAGGTACGTATGGCGTACATATGGATTTAATTTTAAAAAGACGAAATACTATTAACAAGTTTTCAATTTAGCTAGTGATAATATTCTAATTGAAGAGTCAAGCACAATCCTTAATTAACATAATCATAATCACTATACATAAATTTAAAAGTTGCTTCATCGAGGAGATAAAGTGAATTTAACTGAATGAAAATGAAATATTAGTTTGAAAAATTTACGTTAATCGTAAAACAGAGGGAAATGAGAGCAAAGATGAGCATAACCTCCATGGTCCTAGCTTTATACTGTTCGATCACTAATGTTTTACTTCTATTCTTCTACTACCTCCACCGTTTTTATACCGGCTGAACTTTAATGTTATATTTCTATTCTCATCAGTCGAAAATCATTTTACTTGTAAACACACAACTTGAATAAAAAATTTTGATATATTCATAAATATACCATATACTAATTGAAAACCATATTTAGGGTTGATACAATATGAAAAAAAGGCGTATACAGTCAAGAAACGTAGGAATCTCCTCAGAAGCCAAGACCTCTTTTATGTGAAGACACATTTACAACCTTTCCTTAGCGGAGGTGAAACCAAAACAACCTTCACAAACAACATTATAAACTGTTGTAAGCGGTTGCACTTGATCTATTTCCAGTCAAATTAGTAATTATCCCGACTAATTGACATATTACGGTAGATTCAAATTGCTTAAAACGTTTCAGTTGCTTCAGGATCGTTTACCATGCATTAGCCACGTATTTTGGACGCTGTATTATTTCTTGATCATCTAACTCCTGAATAATTTTTGGCATCGAGCTCTTTTTAATGACCCTGCAGCACTTGTAACTTGAAAGCACGTCAGCTACATCTTCGTCCAATGAAGGGTCAGGGCATTCATCACTGATACTTCTTTTGCCTCTAAAGTGTCACTTTCCTCCTTTGATATGTATTGATGAAAAGACTCTACTAGTCAATCTTTAGGAAGCGCGTACTCCGAAAAATACAGGAAGCAATAAATGCACTGGACAAAGTAACACGAAAATATCCAAAGTTAATAAATCCTGCAACAAGATTACGAGCAATACTTTTCCATTCACTCTGTTGGTAGTCATGACGTATAGCTGGGACTTTTTCCCAAGTACCAGTAGCCGGGGAGTTATAAAACTCTCTCCAAAATATGCTAAGTGCCTCTTGTTTTACACCAGGACCTCTTCCGTTTTCGATTCTCCTGTTTCGTCGATAAATACAATCTCTAGGCAACACGACAAAATACTTTCGTCTTTAGAACGCAATAATCATGTCTGCTATAATCAAACGATTGTTTTCTTAAAGCTGATTACCACTGTACAATTCACCATCTGCATCAATATTTACGTCTCCATCATCTTTCAAATTAAATAGTATAGCACTTTTTACAATCACAAAAACAAAACAAAGATTTTTATCAGGCATAAGTAACAAATTTATTTTTATAACAATTTTGGTAAAAGTGAGTGATCGATGTCTGCAGATAAAATTTATCACAGTTTAATAATATTAACAGTAGTACTAATAATAATAACAATAATACAAATAATACAAGGACTAATAAGGATACTGATGGAAAAATGCTAGGGTACTTGGGATTACAATTAAAAATAAAAGGCCAAAAATAGTCAACTAGTTTATATAGTTTCTTTGGCATACTCTATATTAACAAAAATAAAAATTATACTGATGATGATACCATAATACCTTAAAAGACACTCAGAATCAATACTACTAAAAAACTCAAAAAAATTACATACCTACTTATAATATATTTCAAGTCGACTTAAGTCGTACGGGTAAACTAACTTTTTCTAACTCCTTTTTGGGCATTATACTTGAGCATGCTGCCCAAGTTCTTGGTCATGGCAACGACCAACTGCATGTACTAGCACCGACTTTGAAGTAAATGGCATGCTTAGTAACAATTTAATACGGAAATCATCTGCGCATGCGCTTAAGCATGCGCCGTCTACTCGACTAATTGTTCATAGTCGTAGCAACGACTAATTATATGTACTTAAACTACATTTGTGGCAATTAGCTCCTTTAGTCGCAAATTATCAAAGAAATAATCTGGCATGCGCAGTAGTGACTTTAACAATACCACAACATTCGTAAGCCTTTAAATTTATGTATATATATGTAAAGCTAAAACTTCATGTAATAGATGTCAACTAGCAGTGGAAGCTGGGTGCGATATAGTATGCAGTGGCTTAGGGACCCACACTTCGGTGGCGACCGCACTCTCCCTGCGCACCCCGAGCAAAGCTTATCGCAGGTGATCTCGGGGTCTGATGGGCGGAAGCTTGCTATTGCATCTCCCAAGTAGGATAGCGTGGAGGGGCCGAAATCTCTTACCGAAACGATAGCATGCGGCGTTCTAGTGCCTTACATATAAGAAGATATCGGAAAGCATGAACCAAGAACGGTGTGTTTTGCTTTTGAATTTTATCTATTTGTTTATCTCACAAAAGAAACTAGAACATCCAAAGATACTGTAAAGTTTAAAAAAACTTATGCCTCTTTGACTATACGTTTTTTACATGTTACCTTTTGCAATGTAACTTTCTCATAACTTTCTCGTGATGAACGAGAGCCTGCTTATACAATGTAACTCTCATGAACAAAGCACTCACGTGCTTTATGGAAAAAGGGATCATATACTTTTTTAGTGATGGTTTTTACAAAGATTTTTTACATAGAAAGTTTATAAAATCATTTAATAAGCCAAGCCATCGTCAAATTGAACCCTTATGTCATAAAATTTTATTTCATTTTGGAGAGTAAATTTCTTTTTTAACGATTCAATCTAGAAAGTAACTTCAAATATCGAGTAAGTTTGCGATTCAACAGTACACTTTTCCGATTAAAAGGACTTCTTTTAATCGCACAGAGGCAGTCGTCCACTTTGTTACGTGGATGCATGTAGTATGTATTTCGTTGTAAGAACTCACCCGATCAAAGATTATCTAGTTCCAATTTTAGGTGCATCGAGCGAAGAAAATTGCAAGTCATACAATTTTTTATAGCTATAGTTTAAATACCATTTTTACGTATATAACTTGTAAATGAATCTGAAAATCTAATTTTAGAATATTTCATCCATCAATTATATTAATATTGATAAGTGATTATAAGACAGCGAATCCAACATATAGTAAAAATAGCAATTCAAAAATTTGAATGATTTGCCTTTTTAACGCCTTGTGTAGTTGGAATTCGTCCTGGATATTCTAACTCACGTCGTAAAGGCCCGTAACAATCTTTACAAAAAAGTCATTTGCACGACAAAATGCCAATATCCAAGCTTTCTTTCGATCGCTATGCTTTTTCCTGACCAAAAAAAATTAATATTTACTGTTATGCCTTCTGCCTTTATGAATAATCGTTCTGAATAACTATTAAAAGATTCACGAATACCCTAAAACTCAAAATCATCTCCTGACCATTTTAGCCACATAATTTTGCCATTATTCTATGCATAAACAAAACTACGTTAGACTATTTGATTGTACGAATTTTTTAATTTGATCTCGTATTTTTGACATCTGTGTCTACCGTCGGAAAGTTGGAATAAACAGGAATGATCTAATCTGTTGGGAGAAAGTTGCACCTAGTTTTAAAACCATGGCTATTACAAAAAGGTGCTATCTTTAACATGTAGAACCGATGCTTTTTCTTCTTTTATCCAGGAACTGTTGAAAGCAGAGAAATGGGCAAGAGAAAAGAAATATCCCTTTCCAAATATTAAGTATAATCCGGTGGTCAAAGATTCAGAGGTCAAAGATTCTGAAATTCGTGAATGTTATATATTTGAAGATGAAAATGATCCGAACTGCCCAACAATTTTACATTTTCCAGTTGTAAACAACTCATTTCGAGAGTATCTTAGCCCAGGTGAATAAATGCGAAACATACGGATGTGCCTTTTAATGCAATTATCTCAAGTAAGGAAGTATCTTCCATGTGTCACATGTAAAGGAAGTATCTTCCATATGTCACACGTAAAAGAAGTATCTTCCATATGTCACACGTAAAGGAAGTATCTTCCATATGTCACACGTAAAGGAAGTATCTTCCATTTGTCACACGTAAAGGAAGTATCTTCAATGTGTCACACGTAAAAGAAGTATCTTCCATGTTTCACACGTAAAAGAAGTATCTTCAATGTTTCACATGTGAAGGAAGTATCTTCCATGTGTCACACGTAAAAGAAGTATCTTCCATGTGTCACACGTAAAGTAAGTATCTTCAATGTTTCACATGTGAAGAAAGTATCTTCCATGTGTCACACGTAAAAGAAGTATCTTCAATGTGTCACACGTAAAAGAAGTATCTTCCATGTTTCACACGTAAAAGAAGTATCTTCAATGTTTCACATGTGAAGGAAGTATCTTCCATGTGTCACACGTAAAAGAAGTATCTTCCATATGTCACACGTAAAGTAAGTATCTTCCATTTGTCACACGTAAAGGAAGTATCTTCCATGTGTCACACGTAAAGGACGTATCTTCCATGTGTCACACGTAAAGGAAGTATCTTCCATGTGTCACACGTAAAAGAAGTATCTTCCATGTGTCACAAACAAAAGAAGTATCTTCCATTTCTCACACGTAAAAGAAGTATTTTCCATATGTCACACGTAAGGGAAGTATCTTCCATGTGTCACACGTAAAAGAAGTATCTTCCATATGTCACACGTAAAGGAAGTATCTTCAATATGTCACACGTAAAGGAAGTATCTTCCATATGTCACACGTAAAGGAAGTATCTTCCATGTGTCACATGTAAAGGATTTATCTTCCCAATGGCAAATTGACGTTTATTCAACCGAAAATTTACTATTAAAGTTGATTTCACCTTTCTTTTGAAATTTTATAATATTTATTTGAACATTTAAATATTCTTACAAATATACAAATGCTTGTTTTGTAGTTCCTTCAAACTTGTAGAAAATGATTTGATTGTTTAGTGTAAAACTAAATAAAAAATTGACCAATCAGATTATCTGCCGTAAGTTTTGAAAATGCACACTACAAAAACGGACATTTGAATGTTTGTACATGTATTTGAATGTTCCAGCCATGTTGTCAAAAGCATGGTGAAATCGACGCTTTTATTAACTTAAACTAATTTTGAACCTTTTATGATTTATACTACACAATGTTGATCCATCAAAACAATCGGGTTTTTTTTGAAGTTGTGAAGAGAGAGAAAGATGACGACATAGAGTTTGCAAACTTTGACATTTTTGATGACCCTGATGAACCTTATTCCTCCTTCAAATTTGAATACAAGCCCAAAACGTTCGAAAGATTGCATGAACTAATGAAATACAACACGCTCGTGAGCATTGATCTGATCATGGGAAAAATAATCAATATTGTAAAGTACAGGCGAAAGCACAGAAAGTATGCTAAGAAACACTCATTAAAAGAAAAAAATGTTAACAATAGTTTTAGTTCCTTCACTTGTATACCAATATACCAAAATAATCCACATCGTATAAACCAACCTAACATTTAAACTATTATTTGTTAGTGCCCGTTTGTAGTGTTAGTAGATTAATTTGCTTTATTATATGTAATTCCACAGACTTATATTTGTATTACATAATAAGCGTGTATGTAACTGATGTAGTACTTACGTAAGAGTAAAGCTCATAAATAGTTATGATTAAAAGTTCATAATAAGTACTATCTTATATTTACTTTTCTACCTCCAATGTCCTAGCTTTATATTTAGGCTGATTTCTAATGTCAGTACTTACGTAGAGATAAAGTTCACAAATAAATATAATCAAAAGTTCATAACAGGTTAATGTTTTACTTTTATTTTTCTACTTCCAATGTCCTATAGCTCTATATACGAGCTGACCTCCTATGTCTTCTATGCTAACCTACCTCCACTTTCTCATTTTTAGTCGAGGTTAACTTTAATTCCACTCCCCTTCCTTCACTGTCCTACTTTCACCATGACCTCTTATGCCTTCTATACTAACCTACCTCCACTGTCTCACCTTTAGATGAAGTAAACTTTAATTTAATTCTACTCTATCACTATGTAAATTCTATATATATCATCATGTAAACATGATGGCGTTCTTTAAAAAGATAAAGAGAAAGAAGATTATGGCGTGGATGCTTGGACCAACGACTGGGACATAGAGTAGACAAAAAGGTAGACATAATGGTAGACATAAATTTTTTTATGCCATGTAAACTATAAGCATTGTGTCTATACAATGACAATATACATAGTGAATTTGTTGTTTAATAAAGTCTATGGACTCACACATTTCGCGGTACACATGTTGGACCTTTTAATAGTTATCAAGAATATAATCATTTTTAAAAACACGGTCAAAGCAATCATATTTAAATATTTTTTATGATTTTGTAATAATCCACCAGCATCTCATAAGCGGACACCTCCGACAAAAGAACACCAAGTCATGATCACAAGGGTGTCCTTTTAAGGTAAGTTTGATTGCATTCATTGCAATCGAATATAAAAATGCTTTTAAAAACGTCTATGCCTGTATGGAGTAAAGAATGTTCTAAAGTTTCTTCCTTGATGTTTTGCATCGTTACAAACATTTGCTGGCACGGATGAAACTATCAAACACAATACTGGTCATTTTACGGGCGTGATTAACACTATAGTACCTACGTCATTGCATTGAATATTCAATTTCATTACATGTTATTTTACTACATGCATATGTTTATCTTTAAAGAATTAGCCATGGAAAATTTTGTTAAATGTTGTTGTTACAACACACAATACACAGTTGAAAGCTCGTTTTAAAGAGTAGCTACCTTGATTAAGCATGTCTCTCGAATATGCGCCGCATCTAAAGTTGCAAATATTTGAAGAGCGCCGCACTTTCTTATACCCGTAAATACGGTAATTGAGTTGGTTGATTGAGCTAAGATCAGTTTTTATGGTAAAATACAAACTTGACTGCAAACGAATCATTGTATGTATTGTTGGTATTATCTAACTGTGGGTGAATTTTTGATTTTTGCTTTAAATATTTTTAATAAAAATTATAATTATTTAAAATAAAATATATTAATGATATTGATAGTAGGTGAAATGTAAACAGCTAACTAAAGATAACCTTAATGACAGTGAACTTATAAATAGCTCACCTGTTCTTCACTAATATATGTCATGAGAAAGATTAACACTTCATTTTAGCTGTAGTCTGTACTATGAAAAATTTCAAAAAAATGAAATGTTTTCATTAATAATTTATAATTTGCATTCATTGTACAATCATAAACAATCAAATTAAAGAAATGGTACTTTATGCTGTGCTTGATGTTTGATAAATCATAAATGATTAGAAACATAATAATTCATGAATGCAATATCCGACGTCATTTTCTAAAATCGTCATCCATTTTGAGTGAGACAAGATGATTCTTAATTTTTATTTCGATATCATACTCCAGATATTTCTGATTCCTATAATGCATCAATTTATTGGTAAATTAACCAAAGGATTAACAGGTCCCAGCGGAAGAACTGAATATCAACATTTACAATAGATCGATTTTTTCAAGATTTCTTTTAATTACAAAGTATGTCGAGGTTTGCCTCTACTTTAGGAACACGTCATACAAAGATTTTATTAATTTTATTTTAATGCAATCGCAGTCATCTCTGGTTGGTGGGCAGTACAAGTGACATGGTAGGTAGCAATCACCAGCATTGTCTCGCGGAATCCACGCAATAAATTTATGTAACTTCAAAAGAAAATCTTACGGCTTGATTTGTAAATTATCAAAGATAATGTAATTCAGTAAATCATTTGATTTGTCAATAATATTTTATTCTTAGCAGCAATAAAACTTCATCATTTTACTTTTCTTTATACATTATGATAATATGTACATTTACTTTATATAATATTGTTGATTACAACTTGTTACACGTAGTTTTGTATTACAGATACATTTCAATAATGGATAAAAATGTCAAACACACAGCGTTTTCTACATAAGCATTTAAATTTTCCACGACACATTTTACGAAAAGCATCTTCGATTAGAATTAGGTTTTTAGTGTATTTCTTTGACATGATTCCCAATCATTAGGATCTTCTCTCAAATTCTATAAAATTTTATAAAATTTAATTCTCAGATAAGCATTTCCTGGTTTCAGTAAATATATAGGAATATAGGAAAATCCTATCCAGGATCTGAACAGGAAAAAAATCCGCAAATTTTGGCCAGTTTTAAATTTTGTCTGTGATTACTACTTGTGTTTGCCAAGTCTTACCAAAATCAAATCAAAACAGTTTCATCTATTGTCATAATCATAGTATTGTTCCTTGGTAGCAATAGAAAGATGAAGCACGTCATTTTTTGCAATGAAAAGTAAAAAGAACAATACAATACACTATAAAAAATTAATGCACCATCTTTCTTGCAATGAGTAAGAGTTAATATGCATGGAACATGATAGTACAAGCAATGTTTAAAGAGAATACCAATCTTTTAAACAATCATTTGCAATAGGGTAGTATTATTTAATAATGCAGGATGTAACAGATACGAATGAGAACATACACATCATTCATGAATACATAAAACTGTGTGCATTATTCTTAGCTTCTCTCAAAGCTGCTGCTATTCTTAGCTTCTCCCAAAGCTGCTGCTATATTCACATACTGAAAGGGAAGTATTGTAGTGACGTACACAACGTGCGTATATTATTGATCTAGATTTATGTATTAGCAATAGAGGAAATAGCCAATCTTACACTTAATCAATCGTGCTACTTAAACTTACGCACTTAACTTTATGATTACGTAAAACTGCTCAATTTTCAAGTATTTTATCCGCCTTGTAATAACTGCACCTTGTTTAGCCAAATATATAAAAAGCCTGAAAGTAAATTGTAAAAGATAGAATACTCATGACTGTTGTAAATAACTTCTTCGCTAGTGAATAAAAGAATCAAAAAATTTAATAACGTTCTAGTACATTGAACTCACGTTCGGGTCTCATACGACAGACTTATATAACGCTAAAGTATCAGACAAACACAAAGCAAATGCATTTTGAAAACATGTAAATGCCCCCATCCTTCTGTAAATGCCCCATCCAACACATCAAACTAAAACATAGTCATGTGAAAATGATGGTCGCGTTTTGTATGCGTTGCAGAAAACTGCAACCAGTTATAAGTGGTATAGTTGTAAATCATAACGGCAACCCCAGACTTGCAGGGCGCTGTGGTGTATGTGGTAGTGCTGTTTCTAGGTTTCTTTCCAAAAAAATCTCGTCGTAATGGAGGAAAAATAATCGTTTCTACGGACGGAAGCGTTGAAGAACGCCTCGCAGAGGCGTACTACAGTCCTGCGGGGTACTGGCACGGCATTGCTGTTATCCCAAAGCTGGCAAAAGAAGCTAGCGTCGGCGAGGATGAGGCTCATGAATGGCTAACAGGCCATCTGGCAGATCTACTTTCCCGCACCAGAGTAAAGTGCTATCCCCCGACCTAAGTTTGATATCAGCACCACGAATGAGATCCACCAGGCCGATCTCTTGTATCTGCCTCAAGATCGAATCGGAAGTCGCACATTCAAATACGCATTGACGGTCGTCTACGTAGCAAGTCGGTATAAGGAGGCCCAGGCAATCACAGACAAGACAGCGACTCAGGTTGGGAAGTCGTTAGAGTCTATTTATGCCGGTGTGCCTCTTCGAAGGCCTAAAGTTTTACAAGTCGAACCTGGTTCGGAGTTTCGCGGGGCTGTGCAAAAAGCATGTGATAAAAATGGTGTCACTATTCGACGGGGTAAGGTTGGGGTTCATAGAGATCAGGGGATCGTAGAAAGATTCAACCGAACTTTGGCGGAGCGATTGTTCGCTTACCAGTATCATCGCAAGCTGGCTGAGCCCGGAACTTCGAACAAAGAATGGGTACCAAGATTAACTGAGGGGGTTAAAGCGCTTAACAATGAAACTAACCGTTTGACGGGCAAAAAGCCCTCCCTTGCGATTCGGAAGAAGAGCGTTAAGGCCAAACCCGCTGCACCAGCGCAATGTCCAGTTTGTTTCAAAGAGCGACGCTTGCCATCGGATGTTATGGTGCGGTATTCGTATGCGCCTGGCGAACTTGACGTTGGCGAACGGCGTAGGGCGACCAGTACTTTATGGAGTGTGACCTCCCATCAGGTCGAGCGGGCTGTGTTTGAGGGTGAGAAGCCTGTGTTGTATTATATGAGCGATGGGCCCAAGCGCGCGATTGTACGCGAGGAGCTCCAAGTGGTGCTCTTTGGGACCAAACTACCGCCGGCTTAGTCGATGGGGCCCTGTCACGCTTTTTATGAAAGGTTTCACTACCATGTACTACCTTACGCTTAGCCGTGGAGCAACTCATCTACTGTAATTATCACATCAGAACTAATTATCAGCATAATTACGCATTTACTATTTATTCGCCTGCGGCACCAGCTTCCCTATGCCCGCATGCTAGGGTAGAGATCCCATCGGCCGCGATCCAGCGCTTCGTGTTCAGCGGGCTCAATGATGTCTTGTTGACATGCTCGCCGAAGATCTGATGCCCGCGACTGCGCAGCATATCCATACCGTGGCGGAAGCGCTTTGATTCAAATAGCGCCTCTTTGTACTGGGCATGACTGATATGTTTTTTCACGACGGCCTTTTTAACACCTTTGGCTTTGCGCTCCTCCAGACCATCGGATTTCAGGATAGAGTACATCTTGGGTCTGATACCAAGAAACTCAGCAATAGGCGTTCCAGCGCCCTCGTCCTTCAATTTCCCCAGCACTTTTTTGTTGGCTGTGCTGAACAGCGGATGGTCTTTGGGGTAGTTGCTGGTGTCGTACTGACCGGCGTTGCGTCTCATGTCAGCGTACACGTGCTCAGTCTGGATTTCCAGCACAAGGCTGTCGGTGTCGGTGTAGAGGAGCTCTGCTGACGACTTGTACAGCATCTTGAGATAGTTGTAGTACCAGACGTACATCAGATGCTTCGAGAGGTCGAGAATGCTCGTGCCCACGAAGACAGGCCGGTTGAGCAGCAGACTGCTTTTATTCATGTGAACGGCTGCGAGGTCTCCCGCATCGCCAAAGATGAGAAGCCGATTGTATGTCGGCTTGGCGATAAGTTTGCGGAAACTCTCTGTCTCGCTTGGTCGGAGAAGCTTCACATCGACACGCTTTCGGAGGTTCTCCATCGTCTTGCCAAAGACGCTGTTGCTCAGTAGCTTGTAGAGATTGACTTCAAAGTCACTCTTTGTCTTCTTCCGGAGTTCGGTGTTTTTCCGGATGTAGAGCTCCATCCATGGGCTTTGATTGAAGCGGAGCGCTCTGTGGAACTTTTTCAGGCGCATGCCAAGCCGCAGATAGAGCTGCAGATTCCGATAATAAAAGACGTACCGGGCCTTGTCGCGCAAATTGGGGACCAGCTTTTCGACCCCGTTAGACGCACCCCCATACATCTTTTGAGGAGATTTTGCTGGTAATTCGACATCCACGCGTTGTCGACCTTCAGGCGTTTTGGCGCTAATGGATATGCATTGTGCTCGTCGTGCAGCTCTTCTGGATACTCCAGATCGACTTTGAGAATGTAGCCCTTCTCTGCATCTACAGGCTGGTTTAGGGCCGTCTTCACATCCTCTTGGGTGACTCACTGGAACGCGCCTTTCGGCAGCGGCTGCGACATCGCGCAGCCGTACAGGTTGTTGGCGTCGTAGTACTGGATCCAGCTTTGGAGCCACCCCGAATCGTCGTCTGGCTACTTGGGGTTGTTGGCCTTGGCGAAGCACCTGCTGGCCATGCTGATGCCAACCCGCAGGCCCTTCAAGATGACGAGATCCATGTCAATGTCGGTGAGCAGCTCGAGCCTCACCCCTGTGTGCTTGAGGAGAGCGTCCCAGCTTAGGCCCGGGCTCGTGTAATAGTGGGCCGTGTCTAGCCGGTATCGCTCGAGGCACAGCTTTCGGAAATTCTCGAAGACGTCAGCAAGGAGGAGGACATAGGTCCGAAGGTAGAGGTGGTGGTATTCGCCAAGGGTTGTGTAGCCGAAGGCGTCCTAGACACTTTTCCTATGGGCGTAGTCACCGTCGGTGATGCCTTCGCCGGAGAGCTTGTTGTAGAAAGCCCCCTTCTACGGGAGGGCCTCCTCGTCGAATCGGAGCCAGCTCTCCATGTACTTGTAGGGTAGACCCCCTTTCGGAGCAAGAGGGTACGCCTCTGGAGGTTCGGCTCGTAGTCTGCTGTGATGCGCATGTCTTGCGGGTGGCTGGCTTTCATCAGGCCAACTAGGCTTGAGAGTATGAACTGGGCGCTGTCGATGAATCGGAGCTGGCCGATGCTGAACGAGATGTATTTCTCGGCGTTGTTGGAGATGCAGGTGACCTTCTCTTAAGTCTCTGCTATAGTCTGCATGATGAGATGGCTGTCGTAGCCCCACAGGTTGTGAAAGACAACCTGTATGGTTGTCGTCTTCGGGCTGAGCCGCAACTTCAGGTTGCCCTCATTGTGGACCGCACCTCTGTACTTGCCAGTAATGTGGCAGTGGTCTCGCACGGAATTGTCTTCAAGAGGCTTGCTGCAGACGCGGTAATTTGTGGCTTTCTTGTGGCTCCCCCAGTCCTTTCCTGTCTTGTGCATAGGCTCGGGTTTATCCAACACCATCTTTATCTTGCGCTTTTCCTATTGGAGCGGTTCCAGGAAATGCTTGGCCTCGTTGGGCCTCGGTAGAGGTGCGGTGACTGAGTTTCCAATCCGAACGAATGACTATGAATGAGTAGCCGAATGTCTCGTGTCTGGAAGTTTTCTGGGTGCCGCTCTTTTCGGGAATAAGTGCGGGGCCGTTGGTCTTACGAACCAGGCTCTCCAAGTCTGCGTAGATTTTGAAGGGCGCTTTGAGCTGCTTGTGGTAGTTCTCAAAGCGGATTTTGTCATTTGTTCCGGGAGTTTGCATTCTGATGGCAACCGCGACCTGGTTGATGCCTCGAAATTCAGGCTTATGCTCTTCCAACAAAACCTGCCTGGCGAAGCCGTAAAGGCAACGCTCACAGAAGTGCAGCTGATGGTAGCCACTCTGGTTGAGAAGGCGGTTGAAGTTCATGATCCAAGTGTAGTGGTGTTTCTCAGGATTTTTTGAATCCGAGACGAGGAAGAGATTCACAGTCTTGCCAGCTCTCTCTACTTTGCTTAGATTGCATGGAACGACGCCGCCTTCCCACCCGTACACGTTGATAGCAAGGTCGTTCTCATGCTCTACTCAATCGAGCTGGGAGAGTGGTGTGGGTGCGCTCAATCCCGCGAAGTCAAGGCCGTCTTCAGTGGGATACTTGCCCGGCCGTTGCGGGTCTTTGACTGCAGGAAACAGCTCAGCCCTTAGAGACCAGCGGAGGCAGTCGTCATCTTTGTTTTTCACGTTAATGATTGCCTTCTTATTCTTGACGGCGGTGGGGAGAGGAAGTATTGAGCCTCCCAGACCCTTCCCGAGTGAACTTTTCCAATCTCTCGAGGATTGTTGGGAAGGCTTCATGTAGGGCTTGCGGAATCTCATGCTCCTGTAGCAGCGTGATCTGCTTTGTCTGGAACACTAGTGCTTGGAGCACTTCAGTACCATTTGCTTCATCGTTCCGAAGCTCAACCTCTACAGCCAACTGGAACTTAACTCCTCGTTGAGCTAATAGCTCCTCGACGAGTTTGCGTTTGATGCAGGGTTGGGCGTTTTTGAGGATAGCCATCAAGTTGCGTTCGGAGGGATGCCCCTTCGGCACAAGCATTTTCCAAAATCTCAGATGATAGCTGAAGGCCTTCGTTTCATCCTACTTAAGTTCCGTAGGTGGTGGGGGAGTAGCCCTTGTGGGGCGTCGTGGTTTAAATTGAGCCAGAAGCTCATTGATAAATACGTTCATCTCATCATCAGTAGGCTCGGCCGGCCTGCGCTTGCGCGGTTTTAGGATAGGCATGCGCTTTCCGGGTTTTGGGATAGGCGGAGTGAAATTTCTTGGCGTGGGTGTCGGGTCAGGGGGGGGGGCGGTTGAAGAGCCTTAAGAGAGGCGTTCAGCGCGTGTCCGCTGATTACACCTTGCTCATATTATTCAATCAAGCCTTATTCATTGTTCCACCAAGCACTGTTCATTTTCAAATTTATTGTTTTCTAAGTAAATCAACACAGAAAAACCAACAAAACAAGACTAAATACAAACAGGTTGTCTACGACCAGGTCCAGATCTAGAACGTTGATTGGAGTGGGGGTGGTTGAATATTCATATATGTGCGAATATTCTTGTTTTGTGACCTAATGTGCTCAGCAGTAGGGCGTGACGGACAAATAAGTTATATAAATAGGAATGGCTAAGAAGGTATGGCATTTTCATTATTGCCAAAAAGCAGGACTTTTAAATTTATATAAGTTTGGGGAAGCTTCATCTAAGGCTCCGTTTTTGACACATTTACTCGGTCAAACCTATTACTAAGCAGAACTCTTAACTATATTTGATATTTAAGTGACCATTCCCTGCATACCAGTTCTTTATTGAATTGACATCTTTAAGTATGAACCAATATATTCTTGCAATTTTTTAGATTGGCCAAATTTGGTACCACATTAAGATTAGTTGAATATGTTAAACTATTTTTGGCGATAAGAGAATTATTTGTCTTCAAGCCAATAACACTTCACCTTTGGCCATTGATTGAATCACTCTTAGTTGCATAAAAAGTTGAGAATTCGCTTTTAGTGCTCAACAGTCTGCTACATGGTGAATGAGTTCTCTAGTTCTAACATTTTTTTGGCAGGAAAACAATAACTAAAGAATGCACCCATTTTACTACAAAATAGTACATTTATATAAAGTACCTAATGTATTGATAATTATAGAAGCTACTCACAGTTTTAATTGCGTCTCTTATTTGACAGACGAAGTTAAATTGACGCCCACATCCAACGTCATACCACTTGGGGTAATAAATAACAACGCAGTCCTGTATGCCAAATCTTTCGTGATTAGGTTGTCCAGGATACCATGATGTGAAATTAGGCTTGCCATTTTGAACTGTGTAGAACTGATTGTCGCTTTTACTGCGATATAAGCCAATAAAATAAACTTTCCAGGTGCCTCTGAAAATGGCATTATTCTCAGCAATATTTTTTGGAACAGCAAGATCTCCTCCCTTCTCTTGACAAAGTTTTCTTGCTTTATTCCATGTTGCTGTTTTTTTACTGAAGAAATAACAAGATGATCCTTTATGAAACCAATCAGAAGGGCAGATGTTGTATAGAACAAGTCTTTCAATACCTAAAGGGTTTTTAAGGAATAAGGAGGATCTTTGAGTTGGTTTTGTAGAGAAGCCACAAGTTGCAAAGTAAAGTATAATAGAATACAATTCTTAAAAAAATTGTATAGAAATTGTAAAAGAAATAAAAGAAATTGTTTGTGAAGCTTATGTTATCCGGCTAACACTTGACATTTTAATCATAAGGAGAAACCTTCTTGTTGAAATGGATGGTCACAATAATCGTTAAGTGTTGATGTGGATTTGTTATGTATTTATATTGCGCATAATGAGCTGTCTGTTTTAGACTGAAAATTAATTCATTCCATAATATTGTAATCGAGAAAGAAATACTAAAATAAGGAAATCATAACACCAAAAATGTGCATGAACTTGAGGTAAGCTGTCAATTATAGCTCATTTTTACGCCCATTTCAAATGACATTCCCAATTTTCCAGATTAAAGTCAATTTCATTGTAATGTGTGCTTACATGAAATTTTTTTATGTCTGAATAAAAAATGCTTAACTTTAAAACCTAATTTTCTTACATCGAAAATTAACAAGATATGTATGAATGAAGATTATCAGTGCATACCACCCATACTAAGCAGCGGATGACTAATTGCGCGGCCTGTAAGCTTAGAAAAATTTGTGGGACTTTAAATGATATAACTTTCTCCCAAAAAGTTCAGTATTTTGAGGACGTTTCCGTTTCTTATGCTCCAATGCCTTTGCTTCAACTTTCTTACTCATAGTATAAACATCATAGAATAAAATTAAAAATCGAACGAGAGAAACTCACTACTTTATGAGTTCTATACATAGAGCATTATAATAGTATATCGTACATTTTCCAACAGGATATATTATTGGAATTTTGAATATTTATCTCATCTAGAATGGCAAAGAGTAAAAACTATGTTTACAGAGAACAGGTCTTTTTAAAACGCAGGAATGTAAGCTTCAGACTACATAGCCTACTGAGTTATCGGTCAACGGCCTTATTTTTCTGTTCTTGGAAAGAGTTCATAAAGATACAATCCATTGGTTGAAGACATTTGATGTAGTATTATTGAGGTGCAATCATTTTAGGAGTTCTGGAAGCATGTCTGTCAAAATGCTTTTTAAAGTTTGGATTTACAGAATTCTTAGTTTACGAAAGCCAACCAATAATAAACTCAAAATTGTCTAATATGGTGTATCTAGGTTAGCAGGAACATAGCTAGATTACTAACTTCAGGAAGAGTGTTAAACTTAACTTTAATCCTTACCCTAACCCTAACCCTAGCCCTCCTTAATGTAGAGAAAATCAAAATGTGTTAATGCAAACCTATGCTATTGTTATTTAGAGAACCATACACTTTCAATGTTGTGTGCCTATGAAGTTTTAAGTGTATTGAAGCTTTTTTATAAATTTATTACTGATTTCCTGCTTGATTGTATTGATAATGGTTTATGAACTTGTATGTGGTGCTGTGAGCCTTATTTTTGTGGTTACATGTAAAATATAGATGCTGCAAATTCCTTGCACAGAAACAACAGCACACAGAACAGCTCAGGATTCTCAACAAAGAACAAAGTTTTAAAACTGCACAGAGATGCTTTTTATTTATAATCGGTGATAAATAATCTTGATAAAGACAGTAATAAATCCATACCTTGGCACAAGTTACATTCTCCTAAGTATCCTTCCATACACGTGCAATTCAATGTTCCTTTAATTTTACGATAGTATGTGTTGGGTCGACACAAAGGAAAGTGAAAAGTGCTTGTCGCTATATCGATCAATAAAATTAAAAATAAAATCAAACAGGGATTTTAAACGAAACATATTTTTCCTCAAAGAAAACAGTTTTTCACTCAGTATCCACGTTGACGTACCAAGCAAGCAAGTTTGTCATGCAATGTTAGCCTTTTTGGTGTTCGCGCATTTCGTAAAAACAAAACAATGAAATAAATGTTGAAAAGTTACAGAGTATGAACAAATTTGCTGGCTGTTTGGGGCACTATAAGGGATACACTAAAAAGTTAGATAATTGAAAAATGTTCAGAAAATTATCAATTCATCAGTAGTTCTCACAAAATGTGTCAAAGCTCATGTATTTTGGCATGGCTTTAAAGTAAAATGAATAAAAAATTAATCTCGAAAACCATGAGAGAACTTCGTAATCGCCTCAATATGAACACCATGCTCAAAAAAAATGAAAAGTTTCAAATCTAGTGTAATCCAAAGATGTAAAAGTTTAAACTCTGTTTTGCAATATACTGAAATTTTAAGAAATTTGAAAAGGTTAAGCTCACTGCACAACTTGCTCAACTTGGACGTTTTTGTCTTACAATCTATTTTCATGATTTTTTTATATTTAAGACTGATTTCAAGCCCAAGTGATTGTTTAAATGATGTAAGAAGCAATAAAGACTTAAATTCAACACCCAAGAAGTTTGATAAGAATAGACAAACGGCAAAAATGTCCAAATTAGACACTTTTCACTTTGAACTTAATGTTCATCAAATTTTCTATAATTTTGGAAGGAAGAACAACCGTTTACTAACGCATTGTAACTTTGAACTTTTCAACGTCTTTCTATTTTATGAACATTAGCGTGGGAGTTTTTGCAAGTCTTAGATTATTATGTCAAATAAGTAAATATTTAACTACCGTTTGAGTCAGGAGTGTTACTGTGTATAGCAACAGCCAAATCAAGATAACTGTTGTTTACAGGAAGAAAAAATTTACGTCTCGTACGTTGATCTGTTGTGTTATGGAGACTAACGACACTTCGTCCAACACTAATCATGATATAAATAAAATCCCCAAATACTGCCATGGGACCTCCTGAAGTTCCAAAATCAATTACATTATGGGAGTAGTAATCACAAGAAAAAACATTTCCGTTTGAAACTCGCCAATAAATCTTCTCTTTAGGCATGTCAAGCGTTAGATCATGTGCTATTGACTGAAGTGAAACTGAAAAAATATGATGTTTATTTGCAGTCATGCTCCATAACCATAAGAAACGTTCTGTACTTTCTGCCAAGAATAGATACCTTGATAAAAATATTTGTTTTGTACATTAGTTTTCTCTATACGTACTGAAATACGTAAACAAGTGGCAGGCTAATATACGCAAGAAAGGAAAGATAGATTACTTTTTTAGTTTAGACAAAGATGTTGTCAAAGTATTCAGAACTACCTTCATAAATAGACGGTTTAATGGAACTTATTCATAAAATTTGATAATATAGCAACATAAAGCTATTTTAACTAACCGAAAAAGATCACCTTTATCGTTTAAAATCTCTCTTTTAAAAACCGAACTAAAATATATGAAGTAATTAAACATTGCATGTGGTTCAGAACATAATAATAAATGTAATATGTTATTTTTATTCACATAACTTCTATAATGATTGGTATTTTTTGCGATTGTTGTCGGAATGAGTAATACTGTAGTTTGGAGTGGCTGCTGAATGAATTGTGTTGGTAATTGATAATGCTGAAAATTAGCTGATGCGTGGAATTTTTGTTCGAATTGAAAATTTGTTGTTGGTAAATGATATGCACCTTTTAATTATGATATAAAATTACGAAAGCTTTGTCATTTCAATTTTAAGCTTTTTTAATTTTTCAGTTTCATCTTGCATGAAAAGTAGCAGCTCCTTGGATGGTTCATCGTCCACAAATGTTTTTAAAAGAGCTATAGCTTCAAAAACATTGTCTTTTGTTGATACTTTTTTTCTGTTTGTTTGGACAAACGATTTTTTAAGACAATCTTAACCTTCTCTTCTCAATTGTCAAATTTTTTCATTGTTTTTCTGAGCTAACGCTATTGGTATCATTTAAAAATGATGATTCTATCGCCATGTCATGTTCATGTTTTTAAGAATCTTTGGACTGGACAAGCTACGAAAACTGCTTGAACACTATGGCCTTTACTTTATCAAAAATGTTTGATGCAACTAGCAGTTTTAATTATCATCGCAGCATATTTGCATTCTCCAATACATTTCTGAAATGTATTACGCATTTAAGTAACAGCAAAGTCCATGTCTTCTTGTCGTTCATTGCACCTTGCCCCGAACTCTTTAAAAACTTTCTTGTATATATTACCGTTCTTATGGCTTTTTGTGTTCATGAAAATTAATTTTTTCTTGTAATATGATAACAATTAAAGCCTAACATTAATTTTTAATTAGAGCTATAGAAATAGACCAAATGTTGTGGAATGGAATTAATACTGACGTTTCGTCCTTACTCAAAACGAATTCAGGCAAGTAATAATTTATAATTGGATGCTAAGACAAGATATTTTATTTACAAAAGGTGTTAAATTACGACTAAAGGAGGCGGTGTCAAATGGATTACATGATGAAGAAGTTGGGAAGTAAAATTTAGTGAAGTTAAGAGAGGTTAAGTGGAATGGAACCTCTTTGCACGAAGAGTGAAGGCCTGTATTTATTGATTAGAAGGCTCTCATGAATGAAGAGTTCATAGGAATCGTTAAAAGAGGAAATTATTTTAAAGTCGTAAATTATTAATAACATATTCAGACAGTTCTCGCTCCACAATGCTTTTAAGCCAATTTCTTTTTAATCACATGATTATTATCTTCAGATTCATCACCAGTGGAGCAGCTCCAGACCTAATGTTTGCCTAAGCTACACTAACAAACACTGCATGAACTAAAGGTAGTGGAATGACTTTCCATTCAGGTTAATTTATTTGATGTGTGAATGGATTTATTAAAGGGAAGTGTGCAGCCACTTAATTTGCAGCTCTCGACTTTTCAATATACTCTGCCATTCAATGCAAGTTAAAAAAAAGGCTTGTAAAACTATAAACTTGATATGTTGATTATGTTTTTTCAAATTGCCACATTTTTGAAAACTAAAATCCATTTTTATATTTTTCATGTAACTACGTTGGAATGTGTGTAGTTCTTTTTATCTTCATTACAAAACGAAAAGTTGAGGTTTTTCACTTTCACCACATTCGTGAATATTTTAAGACTTTATTGCCATTCCGTATTGAGATTGTTGCACATCTCTTACACTGCCTCAAAAAGTGTACAATAGAGCACAGTATAGCAACAAACAATTTTCCCAATTTGTTAAAAACTTTTGTGTTAGGTATATCTTATTAAACATATGATTGCCATGTAGGCGTCAAGCAAATTGCTTTTTCTGACAAAGAAAAGCCCTCTTAGGTGGCAAGCCGAAGCCAGTAATGGAATTAAATATACAACACTAAGTTGCACAGTGAAGTTGTACTACTTTTTTGTAGGTTGTTGAAAGCCAAGGTTCTGTGAGTATTTAACTAAAGTTTTATGTGCAAAGTAATTATTTAATATTTTATTTCAGTTTCTACCGCTCTGTTTTATTTCATTTAATGAATTCATCATTTATAAACATTGATTTCTCCGTTGTTTCTTTTTTTCTCAAAGCTCTTTGGTTGCTCAACATAAATATCGCTGTTTCTGTTTTGAAATTTCAGTATCTGCATTGTTATTTTCTACTGCATGTGTGCTGAATAATCACACGAAACGTGCTCATTATTGCAGATGGTTTGAAATGCCTTATAGTCACGCAATAAAATTTTGCTGGCCAAATCTCTCCGAAAGACGTTGATTTTAATAAAAATCTGTCGAGCTATATGACGTATGTTTCTTTATAGCCAACAAAATACTTAATATTCGCTCCCTCGGGAAAAAGCGAGTTTTGATTTTCCTGGAAAATCGATATCTTTTTCTATTATTAAACCTTTAAATAACAAGCCATAATACGGCTTATAAAATTCAACTTTTCTATTAAATTAAAACACCGTCTCTAAAAACAAAAACTCTTATCTTACTTAAGAAAACACTCCAATAGATTGGCATAATTTATTAATTTTACGCTTACAAGTAAATAAAAAGAATTTCAATATCGCCTTACCCATGTTTTGAGTCAAATGCAATGCTGGAAAATTGTAAGCCTGGTTGAAGCCTCATAACACTTGTAATTTTCTTTTTCAAATAAATTTGGTAGATAATGTTCGTGGAGTCAACGTAAAAGATACGACGACCAATCCAGTCAACTGTAATATCATGAACAGAAACATTTTTCGCAGAAATTTCGTTTGTAGTTAAGTCAACATTTCCCCGTTTGATGTCTTTGCCATCAATGTAGTAAAGCACATTCTCAACTACATCAATTTCTATGTCGTTATATCTTGGTGCATGGTGAGATTTATTCTTACTGGAGCCATTAATAGTGCTGACATGAATATCTCCAGTAATAGAATCAACAGAGTATATTTTATCAAAGCTCATAATAATCAAATATGGCTTTGGATAAATATCTAAATAAATAAAAAAAAAACTACAAATTACAACGATGAGAGTGGATTAAAAAAATGCAAATTTTTATGGACTTTACGATCATAATATTTAGTGAAAGTCCATAATAAGTATTTTTAGAAAGAATTTTTTCACTGTAGAAATATTACTAATAACTGAAATTAGATTGGCTGCACAACTTCTACCTATTTTGTTGAATATTGTTTTGGTGCTATGAACAAGAAACTATGAAAATTTGTCAAATCTAAAGATTATACCTTTGTAAAAACACATTTCTGTTTGCATTTGCATCATTTCTTTGTTGTATTGTTTTACTTCCTTGCATGCAGTTGTGTTATCGTCATTGCCATTTTATCAACGCAAGTTTCCATCCATTCTTTCACGTTGTCTTTTAATGTCTCTAAGCTTTTCTTGCATATTGATATGTCGTCATTACCATTTACTATTTGGCCACTAATAGACAGGATTATGAGAGCCCCAAGAAACGCTTTTGTTGAGCTTGATATCATCTTTATTTTCTATTTATTAGAAGGTGGACGATTACTAATTTTTTAAAGCTTTTGTAGTAAAAATTTACTTTATTTATGAAAGGCTTATCATCAATATAATCATATAATCATTTGTTCTTAAACTTTTTGGTATATAAATCAAGTATTGATTTCTATAATTATGTAACATTTTAACTTCTTTCTCTTGAAAGTATTTTCACGTTTGCTTTCAGATAATTTATGATGTTTGGATATTATTGCAATAGATTAGACAAATTGTTCATTATAAAGACTCATGTTTACAACAATTCATATAAGTAGAGTTCACCCGCCTAGAACGTGTTTTGAATAAATAGATGTAAGGTTTCTAGGAAACGAAAGCATAGAAAAAAATAAGACATTCCAATGTCCACTATAACGAAATGACGCAATATATGAAATTCACCAAGAGCGGTTTAGAAAAAATTTAAAATGGATTGATTTCAAATTTGCTCATGTTAACTCAGTTTACCAGATGAAGGGGAAAGACGTATTGCTTAACTAAGCCAGCAAAATTAAATGCCAAATAATCTGTTGCGCAGTGTTTAACAGACTCGCTGGCCTCTCTGTAACTACATGACTTCTAGTTACAGAAATGGAGGCCGTTAAACAATACATGATATTGTGCTTTAAAACATCTGTCAGTCGTATAGAGAAGTTCGACTCTCATAATTATATAAATTCTTAATTGTATGAAATTTATGAGTATTTTGACAGAACTGCTAAAGTAAAGAAAATCTAAAAAGCTAAATAGAGGAATGCAACTTTGCAGTATTAAAAAATTCTTACTTCTTCAAATATTTTGTTTTAGACAATCAAAAGACTTTTGCCATTGTTGAAAATATTCTTGCAATATTGAATAATTGTAACAAAAGAAACAAGAGACGAAAAATGTATTATTTGTTTTACATGCATTCCTTGCTTTTTAAA